AAAAAAAAAAAAAAAAATTACCAGCCTGGGCAACATGGCAAAACACCGTCCCTACAAAAAAATACAAAAATTAGCCAGGCATGGTGGCACCTGCCTGTAGTCCCAGCAACTTCTACTTAGGGGTGGGCGTAGAGTGCTACGGCAGGAGGATTGCTTGAGCCCAGGAAGTCAAGGCTGCAAGGAGCTCAGACTGGCCACTGTCCTCCAGCCTGGGCTATGGAGAGAGACGCTGTCTCAAACAAACAAAAAAACAAAAAAAATTACTTATGTAAAGCACTTAGTACAATGACTGGTACTCAACAGACCTCCAATAAATGGCAGTCTATCATTATTACTACTTTCCAGAGACAGGTAATCTAGTCACACTGATAGGGTCTATAAGGGTTCATCAGAGGTGACTGTTTTAGCAGTTAAGGTAAAAGGCATAGAGTAACATAACTGTGATACTGCAAAGAACCTTAGAGATCATTTACTTCAACCTTTTATAGATAAAGAATGCTGAGGTAACTAAAAGTCAACCTCAGTTAACAGACTCTTCCAATTCCCAACTTGGTCCTCATCTAGGTGGCACAAAGGATAAAGCTATCTTTAAAAATTAGATAATTATTTTCTTATTCCATCTCTCAAAATCAACAGGAAAAATTTAAAATGGTCTTTGCAGTCAAAATTGTATCCCCAAATGGAATCCTAGGACCTCTCATAAAGCCTGGAAAACCCAGAGTTGGAACTTATAATGTGACCTGTTTATATCATCTTGCCATTATTCATACATGTCTACTGTAAATCTAAGTGTATACTCTCAATTTCTAATAGTATGGTCCTTCACCTTGTGAAGAATCTCTACTAAGTTACCCTGTGATACTGGGCCTTACAACTCCCTAGACCTCACTTTATTCTTTGGCAAAATCACTATACTTTAGAGATAGTAACTATAGGGATATTAAATATGAAATATTCTCTGAAGTACTAAAAACAAAAGATATAGAGACCTAATATGATTAATTTTTAATCACACAGAATAAAAGAAATATTAAAAAATGGGCATATGTTCTGTTTTTAACAGGGAGACACAGCTTCACTAAAACCATCCCATGCCAAATTAGCCCCATTTTATAGGGCTACCAGGTGGAGATTAAACTGTAAAAAGAAAGTATTTTAATTAAGAAAGGTATCTGATGAAGTTATTTCTTAATGTTTACAGGGTAAGATGAAGGCACATGAATTAGCATATATTATAACCAGGTAGGATGTGGTAGCTCACGTCTGTAATCCCAGCACTTTGGGAGGCTGAGATGGGCAGATCACCTGAGATCAGGAGTTCTAGACCAGCCTGACCAACATGGCGAAACCCAATCTGTACTAAAAATACAAAAATTAGCCGGGTGTGGTGGCCCACACCTGTAATCCCAGCTACTCGGGAAGCTGAGGCAGAAGAATTGCTTCAACTTGTGGGGCAGAGGTTACAGTTAGTCGAGATCCCATTGCACTCCAGCCTGGGTGACAGAACAAGACTCTGTCTCAAAAAAAGTCTCAGCTACTTGGGAGGCTGAGGTGGGAGAATCACTTGAACCCAGGAGGCAGAGGTTGCAGTGTGTGGAGATTGTGCCACTGCACTCCAGCCTGGGTGGCAGACTGAGACTCTGTCTCAAAAAAAAACACAAAAGATTTCAAGCAGCTGAATGATGTGATCAAGAGAGGATCTATGGTAGAGACCTGTAATACCAATATAAGGAAAACTTGATTCGAATCCCGTGAACTCTGGTGAGGGAGGTTGCGCCAATCCAACTTCACCGTAGTGAACAGAGCAAAGCTCGATCTCGAAAAACTAAGTCTCAAAAAAAAAAAAAACACAACACACAGCCAAAAATAAGTTAATATAGAGAAAACATTTGGACAGTGCCTGGGCCACAATAAGCATTATAAAAATGACAGTTATTGGATATTTATTATAAATATTGTTGTCTTTGAATAAAAGGCTCTTTATGACCAGTCATGATTAGCATTTGTTAATATGTTTTTTGGCCTCATAAAATGCTCATCATCACTGGTCATTAGAGAAATGTAAATCAAAACCACATTGAGATATCATCTCACGCCAATTAGAATGGCAATCATTAAAAAATCTGGAGACAACAGATGCTAGAGAGGACGTGGAGAAATAGGAACACTCTTACACAGTTGGTGGGAGTGTAAATAGTTCAACCACTGTGGAAGACAGTGTGGTGATTTCTCAAGGATCTAGAAATATAAATTTCATTTGACCCAGCAATCCCATTACTGGGTATATACCCAAAGAACTATAAATCGTTCTACTATAAAGGCACATGCACATGTATGTTCATTGTAGCCCTGTGTACACAAGCAAAGACCTGGAACCAACCCAAATGCCCATCAATGATAGACTGGACAAAGAAAATGTTGTATACATACACCATGGAATACTATGTAGCCATAAAAAATGATGAGTTTGTGTCCTTTGTAGGGACTTGGATGAATATGGAAACCATAATTCTCAGCAAACTGACAGAAGAACAGAAAGCCAAACACCACATGTTCTCACTCAGTAGGTAGGTGTGGAACAATGAGAACACGTGGATTCAGGGAGAGGAGCATCACACACTGGGGGCAGTTGGGGGGGGGGTGGGGAGGGGAGAGACGGGGTGGGGGGGGAAGGGAGGGTGGGAAGGGATAACATGGGGAGAAATGCCAGATATAGTATGCACCTAAAGTTAAATAAATAAATAATTTTTTTTAAAAGGCTCTTTATGGAAAAAAATTAATATACCAAAACCAGTCTGACTACAGTGGCTCTGATACACACGCATGTACAGATAAATATTTTTTATAATACAGGGTCTTGCTCTGTAGCCCAGCACAGAGTACAATGGCATGACCATGGCTCACTGTGACCTTGAGCTCTAGGGTTCGAGTAATTCTCCTGCCTCAGCCTCCTGAATACAGACTCAGAGGGACTAGAGGTGTGATATGCTTTGAATCTGTGTCCCCATCCAAATCTTATTTCGTATTGTAATCCCCAGTGTTGAAGGTGGGGCCTAGTAGGAAGGAGACGGGATAACTGGGTTACTGTAGTTTGGGGAGTTACCAAACAGGAAAGAGACACAGGAAAGCGGCCCTTTAATACTTGAAGAGCGTGCAGTATGAATGACTTAAAATTTAACAAGATTTAACAGATTTTCTCCTATTCATTTACTGAAAAAAAAAAAAAAGCCACACATGTTTTTCCTTCCCCATTTTAAAGTTATTTTTAGTATCAATACATAGCATTTAAGATTACTGAATGACTGTTACAACTCAAATTATACAAAAAAAGATTATCAAGCATAATTTTACTTATTAAAATCATTTTAAGATATTATTCCCTCGATTATCCTAGAAAGAATATATGAACATAAAGAATAATTAAACATAAGCTTCATTATATAATGATATAAAAATATACAAACCTAATTTGTGAAGTTAGAAGGTAAGAGTATTTCATGAACCTTACCTATAGATTCAGTGGTGAGGAAAATAAACAAGGCTTGCACTAGCCAAGTCTGCAACATCAACATCTTGAGTAGCTATTTCTGCAACAGACAAATGTAATATTACTTTTAATATTTTTGTCTCTTATATACACATAATTTAAGATACAATCTTGTTTTCATTCTGTAGCTGTGTTTCTAAAAGGTGGTAAAATTCTTATGAGAATATAGAAAACAAACAAGTCTTCACATTATTTTTCTTTATTCCCAATGAAGTTATGTCTATGGAAAACACCTCTAGAAAGCACAATTTATACTTTCAAAGAGACAACTTGTTTCTTCCTTACGTGAAGTCCTGTATTAGTAAATAACTGTGAGATTAAGAACTTCAGAGACAAACTTCTACATGGCAAAACTCACTGTAGATGTATCCTTAAAAGATACCTGACTAATGGGAAAAAAATGTAGTTCATAGCATGGCCAAAAATTTTCCCTAATATATAAAGAATGCCTACAAATCATTAAAAAATTTCTAACACCTAATAGAACAACAGGCAAAAAGATTTGAATAGTTTATAGAAAAGGAAATACAAGTAAATCAAGCATTTAAAAAGATGCTTTCAACCTCACTCAAAATGAGACATATAAATTAAAACTATTCAGATAGGAATGCAAAAGGATATTAAACAGTCTGGTAAACAATTTGGTAGTTCATTACCAAGTTAAAAAGCACACCGTAAGATTGGTATTTCCACTCCCTAAGAGCCTATTCCCCAAAATAAAAACAAAGGCCCGCGCCAAGACTCATACTCAAATGTTCACAGCAGCTTTATTCGTAAGTCCCAAACTGGAAACAATCCAAATGTCCCCCAACTGGTGAATGTATAAACATATATCCAAACAATGGTACAGACATACAAAAAAAAAAAAAAAAAAAAAAAAGGTATGAACTAGTGATACATGCAATACTATGAATGAATCTCAAAAGCATTACACTGAATAAATGAAGTCAGACACAACAGGCTATATACTGTATAACTATTTATAGGAAACTTTTTGTTTGTTTTAGGGACTGGGGATTACAATATGACATGAGATTTGGTTGGTTGGGGACACAGATTTAAACCATATCACTCCTCTAGCCCCAACTACTCAGGAGGTTGAGGCAGGAGAATCACTGGCCCTGGAGCTCGAGATCACAGTGAGCCATGGTCACACCACTGCACTCAACCAAATATCCATTAACAGTAGGATAAATTATGTATGGTATATTCCTTTTAGAGATGGTAAACTCCTAGGCTCAAGTGATCCTCCTGCCTTGGTCTCCCGAAGTGCTGGGATTACAGGCATAAGCCATTGTGCCTCCGAACTTCTTGATATGGCAAAATTAGGGTGACAAAATGCAGATCCAGGGTTGCCTAGGGTGAGGTAGAGGAGGCACATGTAAAGGAGAATAAAGGAAATCTGGGGTGACAAAAATATTCTATGACTTGATTGTGGTGGTGACTGTAAGACTCTATACATTTGGCAGGGTGCGGTGGCACAGCACTTTTGAGAGGCTGAGGTCGTGGATCACTTGAGGTCAGGAGTTCAAGACCAGCCTGGCCAACATGGTGAAACCCTGTCTCTACTAAAAATACAAACATTAGCCAGATGTGGTAGCTCATGCCTGTAGTCCCAGCTACTCAAGAGGCTGAGGCAGGAGAATCGCTTGAACCCAGAGACGGAGGATGCAGTTAGCCAAGATCGTACCACTGCCCTCCAGCCTGGTGACAGAGTGAGACTCCAACTCAAAAAAGAAAAAAAACCCACAAAAATTAGCTGGGTGTGATAGCGTGTACCTGTAGTCCTAGCTACTTGGGAGGCTGAGGCAGGAGAATCGCTTAAACCTGTGAAGCGGAGGTTGTAGTAAGCCCAGATCATGCCACTACACTCCAGCATGGGCAACAGGGCAAGATCCTGTCACCAAAAAAAGAAAAAAAAAAAAATTAGCTGGGTGTGGTGGCATGTGCTTGCAGTCCCAGCTACACGTGAGCCTTGAGGCAGAACTGCTCGAACCTGGGAGGCAAAGGCTACAGTGAGCTGAGATCGCACCACTTCACTCCAGCCTGGGTGAGAAAGCAAGACTCTCGACTCTATTAAAAAAAAGACTATACATTTGTCAAAATTCACTGAATCCTGTACCAACTATTTCAAAGTGAGATTTTATCTCACTTTCAAACTAACAAGTCAGTCTACCACGGTGTCATGGATACTGGCAAAAGGCATGACATTCTTGAGTCAGAGACAAAGGACTTTATTACTCATAACAGTAGTCAGAGTATCAGCATTTTCTTGTGCCAGCTGCTTGAGTCCCAACTGCCACAGGGCACTGTGAAGTCAGATGACACCTGCACAGTCTGCTTCACAGGAAAGAAAAGACAGAGCTTACGAAATCCCCAACTTGAAAAATGTGCAGGAAGCGTGTCTGCCATTTACTCTAGAGAGGGGCATTATCTCTATCTTTGAAGACTATAAGCAAACCTGCCCTTTGCTCCATGGCTCTGAGAGCCTACCTTCCCACATTCTTTAAAAGCTAAGTTGGTCATGTGCGGTGGCTCATACCTGAAATCCCAGCACTTTGGAAGGTGGAGGCAGGTGGATCCCAAGGGCAGGAGTTCAAGACCAGCCTGGCCAAGATGGTGAAACCCCATCTCTACTAAAAATATAAAAATTAGCCAGGCATAGTGGTGGCTGCCTATAATCCCAGCTACTCAGGAGGCTGAGGCAGAGAATTGCTTGAACTCAGAAGGCAGAGGTTGCAGTGAGCTGAGATCACACCACTGCACTCCAGCCTGGGCAAAAGAGTGAGATAAAAAAAAAAAAAAAAAAAAAAAAAAAGGCAGCCATCAGGATTCTGTTCATAAGAAATGCAGAAATCTAAGACCCATGGGTTTCCTATCAAGTTGTAACTAAAAACTGATGAATTTTATTGTGTATAAATTGACCTTAAAAACAAAATCTGCCCAGTACGGTACGGCCAAAAGAAATGAGTGCTTAATACCTCCAAAGACATGTACAAGAATTTTACAGAAGTTTTATCCAAAAAAGATGAAAAATAAAATCAACCAAATATCCATTAACACTAAGATAAATTATGGTACATTCAAGTAACTGAATCATAGCAATGAAAAAGAATAACAGATGCATGCAACATGGATGAATTTCACATATACTACAGAATGAAAGAAATCAGAAAGGCTGGGTGCAGTGGTTCACACCTGTAATGTTGGCACTTTGGGAAGCTGAGGGGAAGGATTGCTTGAGGCCAGTCTGAACAAAATAGACCCTGACTCTACAAAAATTTAAAAAGATAAAGAAGGCAAGAAAGTACGCTCTGCATGATTTCTTTTATAGGAAGTTCAAAAAGAGGCAAAAGTCTACCATGTTTGGTGACAGAGGTCAGAGCAGTTTTTTGTGGGGGGGGGGGGGGAGTATAAAAGTGGACATTCTGGGGTGCTGACCATGTTCTGTATCTTGACCTGGACAGTGATAAACTCACTGAGCTGTACACTTATGAGTTCTGTTTCACAGTATGTAAGTTGTACTTAGGAAAAAAAGGTAAATAAACAAACCAAAAATTATCCCAATACCATTCTTACATATTAGTGTTGGTAAAAATATAAAAACCAAAAAGGTATCAACACAGTGTTGTAAGACTAAGCAATGAAGGTATTGTTACACACTACAGGTTATAGTGTAAATTGGCATAAGCTTCCCAATACATTGTATACTTTAAAAACTGTCAGTTTCATTGTTTGTAAATTAGATCTCAATTAAAAACAAAGAAAAAAGCCTTACCCAAACAAGGCAGAGAGCCAGTTTGGCAATATCAATCAAAATTACAACACATACATTTGAATCGAACGATTCTGTTTTATTTTATCCTATAGATATAAATAAAACAACACCATGTACAAAGTTATTCACTGTTTTGCTTTTAATAGTAAAAACGTTCAAACAACCTAATTATGATAAGACACTAGTTAAATTATGGTATACCAAAACCATGTAAAAAAAATGAGGAAGCTCTATATGTACAGAAACATAAAGTTATCTAAAATACATTGTTAAAGTACAGAACAATGCATTGCTATTATTTGTGGGCAAAACAATATACAAGAAAGCAAAACACACATTCATTTCTTTATAAATGCATACAATATTCTCCAGGAGGATAAAAGTTCAAATACTGGCTGTGACTGGGTATTTGAGAGACCAAGATGGAAGGGAGACTCTCCACCATATACTTTGTAGCCTTCCAATGTTGACCATGTGAATCTTTAGTACTTATGCAAAAAATAAATACAAATTTAAAAATACTTAACGTTGGCTAGGTGCAGTGGCTCATACCTGTAACCCCAGGACTTTGGGAGGCCCAGATGGGTGGATAACCTGAGGTCAGGAGTTTGAGACCAGCTTGGCCAACATGGTGAAATCCCGTCTCTACTCAAAATACAAAAATTAGTAAGATGTGGTAGCCCATACCTGTGATCCCAGCTACTTACGAGGCTAAGGCAGGAGAATCGCTTGAACCTGGGAGGCGGAGGTTGCAGTTAGCTAAGAATGCACCACTGCACTCCAGCCTGGGCAACAGAGCAAGACTTTGTTTCAAAAACAATAATAATCAATTCTTAGGCTGGGCAGGTGGCTCACGCCTGTAATCCAGGCAGTTTGGAAAGCCGAGGCGGGCAGAGCACCTGAGGTCAGGAGCTCCAGGCCATCCTGGCCTATATGATGAACCCCATCTCTGCTAAAAATACAAAAATTAGCTAGGCATGGTGGTGGGCACCTGTAATCCCGGCTACTCAGGAGGCTGAGGGAGGAGAATTGCTTGAACCCAGGAGGTAGAGGTTGCAATGAGCAGAGATGGCCTCACTGCACTCCAGCCTGGGTGACAGAGCGAAACTCCATCTCAAAAAATAAAAATAAATACCTGATGTTGAAAAACTAACTATTGGGTACTATGCTCACTAACTGGGTGACAGTTCAATCATACTTCAAACCTCAGCATCACACAATATACCCATGTAACCTGCACATGTACTCTCTGAATCTAAAATAAAAGCTAAAATCATTAAAGACAAAAATACCTAATATGTCATTTTTTTCTCCTGAATAAAACTATTAACTCTTCTTGATGAGAAATGGTTCTATACTTGGAACACAATATTCTTTTATTAAATATACCTACTAACTTGACTTTATGCACTCCCTAACATGGTTTTGTTAAAAAAAAAATTAAAAAAAAAATTATATGTAACAGCTTTCCAGCACGCCCAGCTAATTTTTAAAAAATTTTTCTGTAAAGGCAGGAGTTTCACTCTGCTGCCCAGGCAGGTCTCAAACTCCTGGCCTGAAACAATCTCCTTGGCCTCCCAAAGTGCTGGGATTATAGGTATAAGCCACTACACCAAGCCAAATGTACTATATTCTTGCAACAAGGCTGCTCTAAAACAAGAGGTCCATGAAAGAATTTACGATTACTTCAAAGCAATTAGATTTGGTTGAGTAGTACCACGGAATACAAATAAAGGTAACCAGACAAAGTAAACTTTCCTAATTTTTAAAAGATTGTCATGGAGAGGTAATAAAGAAACATCTATTACGGCACTTGATTTCATAGTCCAAATCTAAGAGATGAAGACACAGTAACATTATATAAAATATTATATGCAATACAGTTAACTTCATTTGGGGCTTATCTTGTTTAAAAAATTGACAGAATTAGGCCGGGCGCGGTGGCTCATGCCTGTAATCCCAGCACTTTGGGAGGCCGAGGCGGGTGGCTCACGAGGTCAAGAGATCGAGACCATCCTGGTCAACACGGTGAAACCCCGTCTCTACTAAAAATAC